GGAGATGATGGTGTTGATCGCCCGGTCGGAGTGTGGCGAGAGCCAATGACGGTGGCGCCTTCTGTTCACGTAAGCACGAGATTGCGACAACGCCTGCAAGGGAAACAACGAACACACTCGCCTCCCCATTCGGTCCCACCTTAGCACGCGTTTGATGCTACTGTGAAACTCTCAACGCTGCAGATTCCACGATAATCACCTGCTCGTGGCGCCAGCTGCAGCGACCCGAATCTTATTCAGAAATACCGACGGCGAAATGGGCCTCCCTACAAGAGCGGCCCTTGCGGCGCTGCTTTACACCGCAGCAGTCACAGCTCACGACCACGATATGGATGCGATCCCAGATGGTGATGCCATATCACCTGACCCAATAGTGGGTTGACACTTCGACCACCCTGGTTGAGGCAGCAAGACTGATGGTCGATGTAGGACTCAATACTATGGACGCACATCTTGATCCAAACGGTGGCATGGGGCATCATCTTCCCCACGGGTATGGTATTAGGAGTAAGTTACCTCAAATCGAGAACCAAGAGTATGGGCTGACAGCAGGTTCAGATAATACGATCGAAATGGCACGTCCCGGTACAATCCCTAGGAACCGTCCTCGCAATCATCGGATACTTCCTCGGCCATAGACACAAGGGCAGGCAATTCACCGACAACATCCACTCCCAGTTCGTCCCTGTCATCATGCTCATGTTGGTATCCCAAGTCGCTATGGGTATCTACCTGAAGTTACACCTGGAGAAGGGCATCAATGGGAAGATACGGCGCGTGGTAGTGAAGGCGCACGATGTTGTTGGAAAGGCTATGCCAGTAGTCACCTGGGTGCAGTTCCTCTTTGGAGGAATTACTGCACTCGGCTTCTGCAGAGCGGACCACACCGGACAATGCCTGGCGCACTTCATTATGGGCAGCGCCTTCATCGCATACGGCATCATTCTCCTTATCCTACTTCTAGTCGGACAGATGTGGCTGCGGAGGACCGGAAGGAGCCAGGAGTTCTTCGATTCGCTCGTAATCGCCGCCTGGGGTTGCGTCAACACCTTTACCGAACACCGTTGGGGAGGACCATGGGTACACAACGACCTTCAGCACACGTCTATGGGCATCGTTTGGTGGGCTGCGGGCCTAGTCGGTGTCTGGCTCAGTCGCAAGCGCAATGGTCAACCAAAGCGCAACCTCATCCCCGGTATCATCATCCTGATGACCGGATGGGCCATGTCTGCGCACCCACAACATCTGCCAATTTCGACTATGATCCACACCATCTTCGGCTACACCCTCATGGCTGCAGGTGCCGCGCGTATCATCGAGATCTCATTCGTGCTCAAGGACCGCGCTTCTGTCGCAACCGATGGCTCGGACCCGAACAGCTTCCAGTACCTGACGCCGTTCCTGCTCATGGCTGGCGGGTTCATGTTTATGGGCGCCACCGAAGAGCAGATGAAGCTGCTATCCGAAGCGAACGTCACGCACGTGTCTTACGTGCTGATCCTCTACAGCATCGCTTTCTTGCTATTCCTTTGTAAGCCTCCCCACTTAGCTCACCACTATCTTGAGCTAATTCGTGTCTAGTCGTCAACATGCTCATCCACCTCTACGCCGTATACACTTGGGAACAAGACGACAAAGCTGATGCTGAAGCGCCCCTCACGAACGGTCACGCGAACGGACACATCAATGGATACACAAGGGTCGATCGTAGAGTGAGAGACGCCGAGGAGTTTGAACTGGAAGGTCTTGACTCAGATGACGATGATGAGGATTCATCGCGTCTGAACAAGGAGCATAGATCCCTGGCTGCGCAGCATTAAGCCGCTTTTCTTTCTTGTTAACATGGACGCATAGGGCATACAGGAATACATGCGTATATTATTTTTATTCGTCGATACTAGTCTGCACAATACGGTACCCATGAGTGGTTGACACCGCACAGCCAGGCCAATGTCAGCCCACGCAATATGCCGCCACAGGTCAGACCTATCATCATACCAGGTGGCTGCATGTGTATCCTGCACCGGTGAGTGTGAGATCGTTCTAACTGGCTGCCCATCGCCAGCCTGGCCTGCATGCGCTGCGCCTGAACCTCAGCCTTCTCATCTGCCCCGCTCTTCTCGCGCGCTTCCCTTTCTCTTTGCGACCTCACTCTGAATCGCACTCAGCGCAACGAGGTCTGCGATGGCAGATCCATTTTCCATCACCGGCAGCGCCGTCGGTGTCGTTTCTCTCGCCATCCAAGTTTGCAAAGGCCTCGAATGGTACCTCAGTGGCGTCAAGGAAGCGAGGAACAAGGCTGAACAGATCGCGGCGGAAACGGAGGAACTCGCAAACCTTCTCGAACGACTTGAATCCGTCATCGGGAAAGTGGATCCATCCCAGTCGGTGTCAGCAACACGCACCGGCATCGTGTCGTGTGCGAATGCGATCGTGACTATCAGAAAGAAGCTCAAACCGGGTGACCAAGCAGCGAACAGCGGGATCAAGTCGAGCTTGAAGAGGTTGACCAAGCGGCTGGCTTTTCCTTTCAAGGAGGCGGACATCAAATACTGGAAAGATGTTCTCAACACCATACAGCAAAGTCTACAGACTGCGCTGCTCGCCCTTGTCATCGACCAACAGCGGTTGGCGTCTGAGAATGCTCGGTTGCACTACACCCAGCTATCCATGGACCAAAGCATACATCACTTCTCAAACTTACAGCTGCAGCGCGATGCATTTCATGCGACAAGTCTTCAGCTCGCTGGACAATCACACATGCTCGCATCAGGATTCTCGGCCACGTCGCATGGTCTTCAGAGTCTTCATGCCGATTTTCGGAATTTCCAAGAACAACTTTTGGAAGCTGTATCAGCGAAAAGCACAACACTGGACGACGATGTGATGAGGCTTAGGGGTGTTCAGCGAAGAACGCAAAAGTTGCAACGACGATCCGACGCAATCCCATGTACATGCAGACCACAGACCTCTACACTTGGATATATATCAAAAATCCTGACTCTCGCATACACCCAAAGCTTTGTTCATGACCCTCGGTGTCTTCGTTATTCGCTACCGGACGTGTCAAACGATCTGCAGTTCAAGGCTACCCTGTGCAGTCTGGTTCTAAAGAGGAGGATTTCGCTTTCATTTACCAGGTTCAACAACGCTGGATTCACGCAGAGTCTGCAGTGTTATCGGATTGTTGATCGGGATTCTCCTGCTTTCGCGTTTGCCAAAACACTCGTTAGATCTAGTCTGAACACGCCAATGAAGACTTTTGTGGGCGAGGTCGAGAAATTATCCAGGATGTTTCAGCTCAGACAGGCGTCACCACACGATCGACTAGCAAATGGAAGGACGCTTCTACATGTATGTTCGCAGCCCTCATCGATGCGCAATGGAAGCTGACCACCAGCATAGCAAGTTTGTGACCTAATTGGCCTTCTCGATCGCAATAAAAGCCTCGCCTTCACCTACGAGAACCTTGCTTATTTGTTCAAAAATCTACTCTCACTAATGCCAAGTGAGGCTTTCGAGACAGACGATGATGGAGAGTAAGCATTCATTGACCCTTTTTCTATGTTAGACTTATCATCATTTTGTGGTACTGTCGTACCACTTCGAAGTGTGACAACGCTAAACGTGGACAGTACATGCATCGACACTCTCATGGAAAATCACGTCCCTATCCAGACCAGAGACTACCAAATAGCTCTCTTAAGATCACTATTTGAACATGGTCTGCAGATAACACGGGATACCTGGGCAATGGCCGCGCGTAGAAGGGACGCGGGGTTGGCAGTCTTGGCCGAGATTCGCTACGAAAATTTTACGAGCCCATTACTAGATGACACCGAGTTACTAGAGGCGATTTTCCTGAAATCAGATCATCAACTTCAGGAGTTCCTACATCAACCCAGGCACCTACACGCTCTAGACGCCGACACGTTCGTCGACGCCCTGATCATATCTACCATTACTGGTTGGATGGGTGGTTGCAGGGCGCTCCTCAATGCCAATTCGATGGCATACTGGGACACCCCAGGCTCTGATACGCAGGATCGCGGACAGAGCCTACTGTACATCTCGGCGAATACCAATCGACTGGACATGTTGCAATTTTGGTTGTCACAGAGAAAGATGTGCGATAAGCAACAGCTCAATTTGATCGGCCACTTCGAGGATGCGCTTGATCTCAAAGGAGGGACTACATCAGCTGTTCCCACTGTGGATATTATCCAGCTCGTGTTAAGTCATATCCTTGAACAAAGGCACGAGGTCAAGCTACTGATGGAAAAGCATGACATTCAACATTGTTGTCAAAGCGCTCGAACAAGCTTACCAGACGCACATGTGGGTTGCATTCTCACTGCACTATTGAGCGAGGGTGTTGACGTACCCCAACGATATTGGCCAAAACGAAAAAGCCTTTATTGCATGCCACAGATGTGGTCTTCCGATAAACTCAGAATCTTCGAGTCTTTTGAACTGGCCGGCATCTGTGATATTAGTCAAGAGAACTTCAAGTGTACTAAGGACACGTCCTGTTCGCCGATCGTGTATCTGGCCACGCAACATATGACGAGTAAAAGATCAGGATGTTTGACTGAACGTAATATGATAGTCCGATGGTTTCTCTCAAGAGGAGCGAACCTGAGAGAGACGTGGCCAGGAACGGCTACTACCGCTGTACATTGTCTGGCCTGGCAATCTGCTGGATGTTTGAGGTCCCAAGTCATAGACGCACGTTCCGGTGATCTTCTAATCATGAAGGATGCCTGGACGTACGAAGATTATGAGTTTCTTGTAAAAGAGGATATACTTGACGAATGCGAATGTGGATGTAGCAGGTCTGGGTGTGACTTTCTCTCATGTTTTTGGAAGGATATGTTCGAGTATGATTATTACTGTCCGCGGTTTCCTCTCATCTGCGAACGATTCGAGATCGCAACTCTAGCGAGGAATTTCGAAAGCGACAGGTTCTATGCATTTGACGACATCGACGTCGAGTTACAATGGAGTGTCCTAACGAGGATACTCCCCGATCTGACTCTGTGGGTTGAGAAAGCGGCAATCACTCTTGACCTTGATCGACTGATACATAGCTACATACGCCTCTTCATTTTCTCATACTTGGAGATAAGACACACCTGCTGCTACGTTGATCGCCTTGGTCGCCTCTGGCACGAAGAGAGTCCTTATTTCACCGAAAAACCATATCCTCGGTATTATTCAACGGAATTACGGCGCATCACCAACGAGGACGCGCATCTACGCGCACGACTGGAAGAGCTTGTACCCGAGCTCATCTCCCAATACGACTCTTTCGGAGGAAAGCTCCAAGACTTTGTCATCGACATTCTCATTCCGACAATGCGTAGAACTGCGAAGGAGTTGAAGGATGAGGATAAGGCACTCTACGCGGCGGGGCGAAGAGGATTGGGCGTTGTAATGGATGGGGATGAAGACGAAACTGAAGGGGAGAGTGGTGAAGTGGAAGAGGATGAAACGGACGCCGAAGAAGAGTCAGACGACGAGTACTGAAACGATCTCACATACTGTTTCCTTCATCAGATTTTGAGCGTGCGCAGACGTTTGTGCATGAGCAGCAGAATTTACACTTTGTTTCAATCTTTCTAGCCATCACATAAACATTGGCAAGAGCAACGCAGCACTGAACAAAGTCTTTCAGGTATGTTATTAGATATTACAACAGTATCTAAGCCACTGCCAGCTCCTCCTCGGCGCCACAAATCGTTCGTCGGGGTATAATGCACCAGAAAATCCACTTTTGTCGCTCGAAATCCACTTTTGGTTGTCGTCATATCGTCCTTTTTATCCTCCTCTTCCTCTTTCTCAGTCCTCGTCCATATCTCGTCTTCCTCAGCCTCTACTGCTCCCCATCTACAACGCCTTCCCGGCAGTAGTGTTTGCTGCAGTCGCAGTACCGCATCCATAGCTAGCCAAGTAGGCAGCGTTAACGCTCTTGTGGTGCTCAACAGCATGCCTCTTGACGCCTTCCCACATCTTCTTGATGCTGAGGTTGAGCTTGTGCTGTGTCTTCTCTTCTTGGTTGACGAAGTGGTGCGCGTCGTGTGCTGACTCGTGGGATTGGCGGCGAGACTGCGAGAAGGGAGTTGTAGGGATGGAAGAAGATGGGGTTGAGGCGGAGGAGAGCGACAGAACGCGCGGGTGGCAGTCGAAGTTGTTCATTTTGGGTGGTGTTTGTCTGGTTTGAAGACACCGAAGATATATGAGAGTGTTTGGTGATCTTGAAGTTGGAGATTGAAGTGTAATAGTAGGCTTGATGATAACTTGATGCTGATGCTCCTCCACCCAACCCACCTCCCCACCCCTTATATACCCCATGGCACCACGAAGAAATTTTCCACTCTTTCCCACCACCAGCCAAACGATCGTGAGATCTTGGACACACACAGACTCCACGTGCACCGTGACTGATTTTTCGCAAAGGTCGCACATGTGGGTCTAGCAAGGTAGCATCGCCTCGCGCTGGTTACCACCGAGTGTCTAGAAGCCACAGGACACACACCGGAAGACGTCATCATAATACCCTTCGCATGTGCCCTGACTAAACCTCTTCAGATCAAAATCGACCTAGAAATAGCTAATGCACATGGCATGATCTCCGTTAACCGCTTAGCTCCCGCGAGGCTCTCAGGAGAACGTGGTGAGAGGCGTTGGCGGCTGGCGTCGGCTCAGCCTCAACAGACTTTTTATACCGCAGGGTCCCACTGCGACAACCATCACGTTCTTGACTTTGACACACGAGTTACCTCTAAAGGCTATTTCGTGTGTCATAGTCGCTGTTTGCGCAAAATTCCATATTTCGTCGTGCCTGGAAGAAAGAGAGGGATTGGTCGTTAGTTCAGCCGCGCCCTATCCTGGTAGGGCGTGCGGCTCAACGAAGCTTGGTTGCGTGAGCTGGAATGTTCGCGATGGCACATGTGGATTCGCGATTGATGGCGAGACTGTTGTTGATGCGCTGAGCATATGAATGCACAGACTCGAAGGAATTTTGCGGAGTGGTGATGCGGAGGTCAGGTTGCGAGTGTCGCGGGCGCTAGCAAGACATGATGGTTGCCGTTTCCGTCGGATAACCTTTCCGTTGGAAACATTGAGCATCGCCTCACCGATTCTTTCATACCTTGCAAAACTAGATGAAAAGCATGCCGTCAATTCGAAGTTGCGGCGAATACGCGGTGGCGGTGCGACCTTTGGCGACATGCTGGCCTGATCATTCATTGGCTTCGAGCGACTTTTGGGAGCAGTAATTTCTATTCCAAATCACTACGACTACGACCTAGCCGTATTCCTCAGCGTCTTCTGTATACAAGCACAAAGCTCCGGTATCCTAAATGGTTTGCTTATAACGTCGTCCATTCCCGCCTTCAACGCCACTTCTACTTGCTCGCTCCTCACATTAGCCGTCACCGCGATGACCGGCACGTGCGCTCTAACAACGCCTTCTTTCTGAAGTTCTCTGATATTCCTAACGCATGTCAACCCATCCATAACAGGCATCTCCCAGTCCATTAGGATGAGTGCGAGTGGCTTTCCAGAGCCCTCGGAGATGCAGTACTTTGTCGTGCGCAGATAGTCAAGAGCTTCTCCACCATGATTCGCGACTGCGACCTGCATACCCGTGTTCCGTAGCTGCTTGGCCAGGACGCGCTGGTTTACGAGGTTGTCTTCGACGATGAGGACGTGCAGGTCTTTGTTGGGTATGTCGTTCGCAGGAGCGGAGGCTTGGGGTGGTTCGTCCGATTCGTTGCGCGATCGACTTGAAAGCAGCGTCTTTTGCGCACGTATGCTCAAGCTAACGGCCGCATCGCTTTCCGACCGATTAAAGTTGGGGCGAATAGTGCTTCTACGACTCTTCACGTAGAAGGAAAATGTACTTCCGACGCCGGCTTTAGATGCGAAGCCGATAGCGCCGCCGTGCATCTCAGTAAGCTTTCGTGAGATGAAGAGACCCAGACCGGAGCCACCTAAATTACGTCAGCAAGTCGTTCAGTTGCCTTCGAGGTTCATAGTCACCATAGTCGATATGTGTGCGTGGAGACGCTTGCGAAAAGCGTGCGAAAAGGAGCTGGTGTTCTTCGTCGCTCAAGCCACGACCCGTGTCCTGCACGGAGAAGATGATGTAGACCTTTTACGCGTTAGTGGAAGACCTGAGACATCGCCTTCAGCAACAGCTTACTATCTCGCCCTTTTCCCAATCTGCTTGTAGAGTCGCTGCTTCTGATGTTTCCGAACTACGGGAGAATGGCACGCTGAAACTGTGGGTCGGCTGCTTCAGGGAGACGCCCAGACTGACCCTGATCTCGCGTATCTCTTCTAGTCGGGTGAATTTGATTGCATTGGTGATAAGGTTCTTACCTGTCAGCCGAAGCACTTCAATATGTCTCACGTACTTACAATGAGTATTTGTAAGACCCTTGTAGGGTCTAGCGAAACGAGATCAACCGCGATCTTTTTGCATGACTCTTCGAGCTGGAATCGCAAATCCACACCCGCTGACTTGGCTTCACCTTCGAACATTTTCACCGCGTCTCTCGCGATTGAGTCGAATTTGACATCGACTGGGGTCATTACAAATAAACCTGAGTCCAGCTTAGACATGGTAAGCACGTCGTCCACAATAGTCTTCATGTGCTTCGAGCACTGGACAATGGTTTCGGCAGCGTCAACGGTATGCTCCAATATAGTCTGGTAGACCTTCTGGTAATCTGTCGACTTGCTGAAATTCTTGTGAGCCGAGATAATACTATCTGCACACTGGACGATCGCGGACAGAGGATTTCGCATCTCGTGTGATGTCGTGTCGATGAAGTTTTCCAGACTGCGCTTAGATTCTCGGGCCCTCGTTGCCTGGGTAGCCTGAAGTTTCTCTCCCCATTTCTGCTGACTGTTCGAAGCCCTTAGTTAAGCATAGCGAGATGAAGGAATGACGTACCTGATGTCGGTACAGCAACCGATGATCTCTACTACTTCTCCATTTTCATCGAGCTCAGGGAAGATGGATGTGATGACCCACATCGGCTCTTGTTCGGGGAATGTATCATCCATGTGCTGGGTAGGCGCATTCCACCTCTTCTTGAGACGCAACTCAAATGATCTGGTCATAGTAAGCTTTGTCGTACGTCATGACGTACCTATCACTTACTGGTGCTGCTTGGTCTCGACAAGTTCCTCAAACTTTGCTTGTCCCATTTCGACGAAGTCATCGTCGATAAGCTTACTCCACGCGTCAGCGAGATCGGTTGCAGGATCCACTGGACCAAGCATCTCAAACCAAGCTTCGTTCCTATACGAATAGACCCCGTCCATTCCTATGAGAAAGATGCCAATATCAGCACGCTCTGCGAAGCGTTTGAACTTGGAAAAGTTGCGCTCAGATTCCGCTTGGGACAGAGTCAACTGTTCCTTTAGTTGCGATTTCATTGCTTCCGCGTTTGCGATAGTCCGTTCTCGACGCCCAATGTCCTCTTCATGGAGTAGAATTGATGTTAAGCAGGTAGAAAGCAGGCGACTGGCGACCAGTATGAACTGGAGATAATCTTCGTCAAATGGCCGACGGGGATTAAGCCCAATGACCATGAAGCCAAGGATGTTGTCTTTCGAAGAAGTCGGGTTCAGAGGACAGATGGCTGCCGCTCGGCAGGGATCACCAAAGCCCTGCCACTCAACGTCCTTGACCAGCGCTGCCGCCACAGGATCCTGATCGAACCGAATTATGATCGGCTTCCGGGCAGTAAGAGCTTGGCGAAAGTATGGAGTAAAGCCATGGTCTTGTTGGAAGTCCAGATGATCGGGACCTGCGGGCGACCCTTTCGGAAGACCGAATGAGCCACGAAGCTTGCAGTGTTGTTGGTTCGTATCGGAAAAGCGCGTCCTACTCGATTCAGACCCATGCCCGTCTGCTTCAGCCGAATACAATAATGCGAACGGAATATCTTTATCGTTGCGGGATAGAACTTCGGTGGCGAGAACCCAGTAAGTATCCGTATTGCGCGCCCTGGGTATCTCTTCGCTTAGCTCTAGAAGAACGCGCGAGCGTCTTTGTGCAATGACCTGTCTAGTCTACACGACTGTCAGCGGGTTGCACAAATGACTTTGCAGCTTCAAATATGGCTTCCAAGAATTGCAACAGCACATTGATGCGAGAGCCCATGCTTCCAAGAACATCATCCTCATCCGTCGTAGCGTCAGATGCGCCACTGGAGGAGCAGGGGACCAAAACATGCGGTGAAAGTGGAAAAGTTGCAACATACCGTTTCTACCAGGGGCTCATAATGCCCAACTGTGATACCCTCAGCATCTAATATGGGTATGAACTTTAAGGAGAAGTACGTCTCTTCCATGAAACCGCTGCGTACCATGTGTATCGAGGTGTTCGTCTTTTCCACGGTTTCTCCTGCGAGGTTTGTTTGTATGATGGGTTCAAAATACTGGTCCCAGACTGAAGCAAGCGCGACGCGAGCGCTGACTCCCATGCAAGGGTGGAAGCCACCCAACAG